CAGCTTCTATTCCCCCGAAAACAGGAATTTCTTCCTTTAGAAAAGACAAAAATAACTACAGTTATTATCTATTTTGAAAAAAAAAATACATTTTAACAAATGCATAGCAGTTCACAATCAGAAATCACATCTTGAACAAAATTTTGCAAATAAAATATTCCAAAACCCCTAGAAACAGGGAGATACCTGGAATAACTTTGGAGGAGGAGCGCCTGGAACGTACTGCAGCGTTGGCGACAATGGGCCATATCCTTTGGAATTTCGAGCTTGCACTTTAAAGAAATATGTTTGCCGTGGCAATAAATTGGTTAGCTTGATCGACAGGTGATCGCCTTTTACTCCATCCAAAACCCAGTCTTTTTCGGGCGCATCCGATCGGTCCGAATAATATACCAAATATTCTGGAAAAAAAAAGCAAAAAATTTCACTCGCATGGGTTCCCGTTTCATTTAAGCGACTGACATTAACCTAACTGTGGTACCTTGGATATCTCCATTAGCATATTTGGGAGGTTGCCAGTTCAGGATCAGTGTTTGTGGATCTCCATTGGTTGACTGCATTATGGTAAGATCACGTGGCGCACTTGACGGAGGTGCTGGCGAAGTCGAATTCACTGCCGTCATCGACCACATCGACGAAGATCTAAAAAAAAAAAAGAAAAAAAAAACTCGCATCGATGTCAAACGGAAAAAAAAAAAATTCAAGGATTCAAAAAACCTCGGTAGCAGGAAGCCTCAGAAATGCGTTTTTACAACATGGTCGGGAAACAACCGGGTTTCCTTCATGATTAGCATGACATAGTCATCACTGGCTTCAACTGCTTTGACAGCTTAATCCTACTTACAAAATGACCCGTCCTGAGCTCGGAATCGAACCAACCAGAACACAACATAACCCACTACGCCATTCATATCAACTGTGGAATTCACAAATACAACTTTTTATGCGTTTTTGCCGTGCAGCGCTAGAACGCTGCAACAGGCAGCAAAAACGCATATTGCAA